TCTTGAGACAAAAGGAGTCAAAGGTAATATACAAGAGGAGCTTTCTGTTGTTCTGTTGTGCTGTATTAGTTTTGACTTAATTTCTGACAGTCTTCCTTGTATCCTTTTCAGAAGCAAATAAGCTAAGCATGCAAAGGAGAAAGAGCAAAAGGATCTATGCAGGATTTTTTCCCTCTGCTCCCTGGAGAGAAGTGTTGCCTTTGCTTTATCAGAGGAAAGCAGACACCTTGCAGCTGCTACTGGGGCTAGGGGAGTTAAAGTCAGACGTAGTAAGAAAACTTTGACTTGGGCAAACACTACCATTCCCCAAAGGACAGATACCTTTAGTAAGATGCACAGTACTGCAGGACTTCTCTGCAAAATTTTGAGAGGTACTGAGATCATAAGGTAGGCAGAAGAGGCTGAGCTCTCTGAAGTGTGTCTAGCAAGACAGGCTTTCTCCAAGGGAAAAGATGATCCCTGGAAAACATTGGCTATCAACATATTGGATTGAAAATAGAGCAATACAGTAACTTACTTAACTCTATTTTAAGCCTATGAAGCAACAGGCAGACAAGAGATAAAGAAGCAATAAGGAACACAGAAGTTGAACAGCATGGTCCAGCAGAGAGGAAGGGCCAGGAATTGCAATACCAGAGTCCTTTGCCAGACTGTTTAAGCTTCATCTTCTTAAATGCTCTGAGCCATATTGCCAGCTCTGGTGCCAACACAGCTTTTAATTCTGGGTAAATAATTTAGCCTTTTTCTGCATTCAGCTTTGTTGTCCACTGAATAAACCCGACACCGCTGCCCTGCTGGGGATTACATGGCACACAAGCTTGGGCAGGTCTTCCACACTGAAGTTAATTGTACCCCCTTCTGTGACTTTCACACCATGCCATGAGAATATGGCATCTGCTGTATTCGGGTGCTGGAGCCTGATCTGTATCAGCACTCAGAGGAGAGTGGACTCTTCTCTTTCCTTGCATGTAATAGAAGGAACGCACCTCTTTGTGAATACGTGAAATTTGCTTTTAGACATTAGAAATCAATACTTGTGTCGTCTGGAGCATGCAGTTCTTTGACTGCCTGTCCCTTACGCACAAAGCTGCAAATGCTGCTTTCATTCACACATTTCTTCTGTGCTTTTGAATGGAGTACTACTTTTTCTAGCAGGACTCCTGAGCTGCCCTACATTACCCTAAGTTGACAGTCACTCTCACAGACAGCAGCAAATATACATCTACAGACTTGGCAAAAGAAACAAGGTTATCCCTGATGTATCTCAGAACAAGTGTTTTGGTTTTTTTTCCTAGCGAATGTATAAGGCATGATTCATGTCAAAAATAGACACACACAGTTATGATTAACAAATTGTAAATTTACCATTTCCCTTTGTTTAAAATGGTTTTCAAGGAAAGAACACAGCAAAAATAATAGTGCAGGACCACTTCTGAAACCTGCCAACTCACCAATCAACAGACATACACTTTGTAAGACCACCTGTGTGCAAGCAGCATGGTTCCTCCACTGCAGAGACAGCTGGGAAGTGACAGGAACCAAGGTCCTGTTTAGTGATCTCTTCTGCAACTGCAAATTCACAGGTTAAGGATAAGGTTTTCCAAAGCAAAGTAATTATAAAGGAAATGTTGAGAATTGTTAGCTACTTTTGAAAGTCTTGCAAATAAATGCGACACTCTACCGTATATGACTGCTAGGTAGTTGAAGTTTCAGAAAAATGTGACCAAATCATCTTTATCTTGATCCTTCAGGGAGTCAGACACGTGCTTTACCAGGGGACAGCTCTTGCTCTCAAGTGCAATATTAGTTTTTGTTTTTACATAACCCCATGTATCTGCTGATCTTAAAGTACCTACAACAGGACAGTGTGTCATTAGTCTGTTACCATGAAACATAAACAGGATAACACTGCTTAACTGTGATGGCCAATGACCAAATAACCAGTGAACATGCGAGGCACTGAGCTAGGGTCTGCCATGTTCACGAAGTGTGAAAAAGCTTATGAAACAGAAGACGTCACAGTTGGTTCTAAATAAAATAATCTCAAGTTTGTTATATGCTAACCTACCTGTAGAGAGAAATTCAGTCCTCTGGGACCCAAACAACTGCGTTGTAGGTATTAATGCTGTAGTCACTGGGCCTGGGTAGTGAGCTGGAGAGAGAGGATGAAGTGTGCTAGGCGTTTTCTTTTAATAAAGTGCCCAGTAGAAAGAGAAGACTAGTAAAACACATAGCTTAGCTTAGTTCCTGTTGTCAGCTGGGTTTCAAACCTACTGATTACAGAAGCCCTACTCATCTCAAGTGCTTCTGCATGGCCAGAGTTCCTATCTGCTAATCCTAAACACTTAAGACTACCTCTGCCATCAGAAGAGATCAGTTGTTATAAGGTCCTTCCGACCTCAAATTCTATTTAAAAAAAGAGACACACACACACACAAAAAGACAGAGAGAAGCATGTTAATTACAGTAAGGCCAAAGAGTAAATAGGAGGATTAGCTCCAAATCTGTTAGACAAAACAATGCTTCAAGAGGCATTTGAATATTTTGATCCTGACCAAGTGGCATGCTCTTGCCCGGCGCAGCAGTGCAGCCCTCATAACCAGACTCTGCAATGAGGCTGACATTTGCTTTGTACTAGTGAATTGATGCAAAGCAGCCTGATTGTATCAGTGACCAGAATCTCGGGACATTCCACGTATGCAGAATGGGAGTGGACAGCAGGCTAGATTTCCTTAATCAGTGTAAATTATTCACTTCTACTCAAGTGAGTGAAGCACTGCCAGCTAATACTTGCTGAGGATCTGCACAAGGACCTCTAAGTCGGTATCTTAAGAGTCCTTTATACCTTGTTTGCCATAAAGTAATTCTCCTCTAGAAAGTCTCCTTGTACACGAGGCAACTTATACATTGAACTTCACTCCTATATGCACACTCCTAACAATCATCAACAAATATTCTTTAGCAGATGCACAGGAAGCTGATGACAGAACAAGTAATTTTATTCACTGAGTCAGTTTTGACACTGAAGGGCACTGAACAGCTGAAAACATCACTTATAGGGAGTTCCACTTACAATGTTATTCAGAACATCAGTGGTGCTTTTGTTATTTCTAAGGAGTGCTTAGATGGAATAGTGTTACCCCTTTGAAAGGATCTGTAGCAATGGGGAGAATATAGCTAGCAAGGCTTACATAAAACTTAACAGTCATGTTATGCTCAAAATCTTAAGTTTATTGCTCTATTTAATGTCTACCACCAGTATTTTTAAAAAGAACGCCAGTTCTTCCTGCTAGCTTCTCACTGAAGGAAATATTTTAAATACAGCAATAAAATCAAGTGGTTTAAAGATAACACATTTTGTCACACATTCATGCAAACCCTGCTGACAGGATTTTTACAGGTTCATGGATACAGAATAAACACAAAGGATGAGTACTGAAATATTGGGGAGCTTTCCCCACAGTGATGAAGTTGTAGGCATATTTCAGGCCCTACACCCTGCACCTACTGACATCAATGGCAAAACCTCAGTGGGAGCAGGATCAGCCCTTATTTTTCTGAGAGCTGTTTTACCTTCCCCTGATTAGGAAGTGCAGTAAATTCTCAGAATCTCCTGCACTAATAAAAGCATTGGGTTTTGATTATTATTACAAATAAAGAGAAGCAAAAATATTTTTAGTAAATGATTACAGCTTCTATTCACATAACACTTGTCTTTCATGTTAAGGGTCCTGTGTACCTCCATTTTTCTCTGCTCAGTAAAGCACTTAAACATGTGCTTACCTCTAAGCATTAAATACAAACTACAGTCTTCACAACCTGACTGAGGTCTAAAAAGAAAAGCACGGGCAGCAGTCTGTATTATTGAGAAGGAAACACTGCTGCCCAGCCTAGTGATTAGAAGGGGATAATGATTGTGTAAATTTGGTTTGGGGGCAAATTTATCAAAAAGCAGCCAACAGATTCAGACTGATTTTTTTTTTTTTTTTTTTTTAAGCTGCCTACAGGATTTGCATTAATTTTAATGAGCACTGGGCACCCAGTCACCCTCCAAACTTTGAAACAAGTTTAAATTCATAGAATACAAGTGGTTTTATTATTATATTTTTAATAAAGATTAATTCAACTCACAAAATTCCTCACCTGATTAGAAACCTCAAATTTCAGGGGAAATTATATTCGGATTGTGGTCTGACTACATAAAAAGAGAAGATATTTGCAAAAATCAAACCTGGTTGCAGACTGAGATGCCAAAATATTGTCAAAGAAAATGTAAAGTGTAAAGAATTTATGTTCAGATTAACTTCTATTCACCTCAGATTTACCCACCTGTTGTGGTACTGGGGTACACTGCTGGTAAGAATTGGAGGTAAGAATTTGACTCACATCATTGAAATATTTTTTCCCCTTAGTTCTGGTAACACTGGTGGTGGACTGCTTTAGAAAAAATAAACAAGCAAACATGATGTGTGAACATCATTTCAATGTGAATCTACTTGAATCTTTCAACGCAGAGGCTCAGGTGGTTTACGATATACACAGTATTCGGTAATTTTATATGTAAAAACAATCAGAAAGGCAAAAAGTTACTTTCAAGCTTAGTCAACATACGGCACATTTCAGCATGACAATTCAAAAAGTTTCACACTATTTGGATATATTAGCAATGATTTTTTTAAAAATAGCAAACTGAAGACAGTGGATTTTTTTCTGATTTTTTCTTGCTTTTGTAACAAATGAAGCTACTATTCTTATTTACAGTATAAATAAGCCTTTTTTGGTGAAGATTATGTCTTGTCACATATGTTTAAGACAAGGTGTACCTCAGCTCTTAAATGTCAATGCAAACAAGAGCATAAAAGCAATATCAAAGTAAAATAGTATATATTTCTTTCCAGCTAAGACAGCCAGGTTACCATGTGTCTCTTATCAGATCTGAAATGTATCTGAATGCAGTCAAAAGTTCTCTTGGTTTTAGCCTTTAGGAATACCATGAACACTTATTCTTCTGCTGCTCTAGAAAGCTGTTTTCCGTACAAGCTCATGACATGATGGACAAATTGATACTGTTCACAAGTCTGGATCATTCCTCCCCTGAAAAGGAAAGAAAAAAAGGAGAGGGAAACAGCAGCCTTATTACATGCAAATAACATATGAGGAAATGGCATAGCTAACATGAAGCTGCTCTTACACATAGAAGATCTATTCCAAAGCTTCCTGAAATGAGTGAAAAGTGCCCACTGATTGCAACCAACCTGCAGTCTGGCCTTGAGCTCCATTGTGAAAGTCTCTGCTAACCAAGGAGCAGAAGGTAGTCAGAACAGGAATAGGTTTACCTTCATTTTTCTTGGCACAGGACCTCAATCCAGTAAGGTAACACCATCATCGTTTACATTTATATTACTGGGGCACCTACACTCCAAGCACCATTTTAAACACCATGAAAAGCAACCCCTACCCCAAAGCTCTAGACAGATAGATAGGAGTAGGGGGAATAAAGAGGGGAAGTAGCTTATCCAAGACTTAGCAGCTGTACTAGGACTGAATTTAGGACTACAGAGGGCCAGGCCAGGCCAGCCCAGACAACTGATGTAGTACACAACCCATTCTGGAATAAGGGTTCTTCCCTCTGTGTCATCCCGTGCTGTGCTTTTGGCAAGTTCACCAGGGAACTAGGGGACGGCCAGCAGGATTTTGGAAAAGAAAACGGAACTTTTAACAAAATACAACTCAGACTTGTAACTGAATTGACTGCCATGCACACCTTGATCAGTAAAAGACTCCCAGCACAGAAATCTGTTTGGTTCAGCTTTTATTTCAGCTTTTGCTTTACTCTTTAAAACTGCAAACCTGAAAGGAAATGCAAGCAGGAGCAGAAACAGTTTGCTTTTCCATGTATCACTAGCCTGTGTATTTCTGCAAGTAGCATATTAATCAACACATGAGTACTACAGTGGGAGACAGAAATGAACAAAAAGAACAAGGATAAAATTATCCATTTTAAGCAGATTTTACTGACACTTAAAATTCTGCCAAGAGTACCTCAACAACAGTGATATGATCTCTTGATAATCCATTATGAAAATAATTAAACCCCACGGCTCGAATTCACCAAAAGTGTATGCAGAATTACGCCAGCACTGGTGCACAGATCCCAAGAAGCAATGCCAAAGGGAGGATGAAACAACAAGCGGCACTGAGGAACACGGGAACCTGTGGGTGGCCAGCACCAACCAGACTGTGTCAGTCTGAGGAAAAGCATATGTGGTGCTTTCCCTCAGAAACCTTCACCAGAGGAAACAAATGAAAAAGTTGCTTCCTCTGAGCCAAACAGCAGACTGCTAACGCCCTCCTTGGGGACTGCACTCTTCTATGGGGTCCAGTTTAACAATTGTGGGTCACACAATAATCATACCAGTAAGGGGTAGATGAGTGGGCCTCTTGCAGTTATTTTGTTAAGCGGCTGTTTGAAATAACACTTAACAATGAGCAGGGAAGGGCAGGGACCCATGCTTCAACCTCTCATCAATAAGCAAAGGTGGAAAACACACACTGCGTTCCTAAAGAAACTGTTTCCTAGCTGAACATCTCCTCCCCATCTGCTCTACTTAATACAGGCTCTGTTTCTGAGTCCTTCTGTGCTGCACACAGCATTGAAATATATTTGTGTCAGTTCATGACACACAATGAACATTAGTCATATCTGGCAATCACTCCCCATGCAATTCCATTAACAGTGAGGTTGCACCCTGAAGTTGTAGCAACAGAAGCACCAGGGTGGCCATCAAGTTTCAGACTGCAGGAAATTATTTTCCTTTTTATCTGGTTCCCTGCTATGTGGTGGCTTCCTCCCCTTCCCCCACACATGCACATGATGACATGTGCTTGCTGTCCAGGCTTTGGCACAGAATACAGAAATTATGTTTTCACCCCTATTTGCCACAGAAACTTTTCAAGTCTGAGTTGCATTGTGGGAAAGGACAGCAAACATCTCTCAGCACTGTGGGAAGGATGCAGGAATGATCACTTCCTCTCCTTAGTCATAATAGGTTATTTTAGAACCAGCTGTTGGACACTGGTACAAAGCCCAATGCACAGGATTTTTCCAAGGCTTCTGTAAGAGAATGAAGGGAAAAAAACATTTGTCTCCTTCACCCCCACAGCAACCTCAAAGGTGGTTCCTCAGGGCTCATGTCAACCCCACTACTGCTGTGAAGCAGTGAGGTGCATTCTTTTGTGTCTGC